GAAAATGAAGGCTAATCATGTTTTGGGTGTACTATTCCTTTAATGCGCGCATCACTAGCGGCCCGCGGCCTGTGTGTGTTTGCATGTGCAGCGCGGACCGGTTGCAGCGCGGCCTGTCCTGGTACGGCCTCTTCAAGCATTACTACTCGGACCTGGGTCGCTACATTCAGCACTACGCGGTGCTGAAGAAAGCCTGGGAGCAGCTGAAGAGCTTCCTGCAGCAGCGATGTCCTCGGATGATCGTTTCGCTCAAAGGTAACAGATCCCAGATCCTGCTGCGTCCATCACCGTGCCGAGCTGAGGTTGAACTTTTCTTCGTATTTCTATGGTTTCATCCTCAGATGGCGCCACAGAGGGGGAACTGGACGACATAGAGGCTCAGATCGGCTGTAAGCTTCCCGATGATTACCGCTGCTCCTACCGGATCCATAACGGCCAGAAGCTGGTGATCCCGGGGTCAGTATCCACGCAGAGTCCGCCCCTCCCTCCCCTGTCTGACACCCCAGTCTAACCAGCCCGTCTCTGGGTTCGTCAGGCTGATGGGCAGCATGTCGCTCTCCAACCATTACCGCTCTGAGGTCCTGCTGGACGTGGAGACGGCGGCCGGAGGCTTCCAGCACAGGAAAGGAATGAGGCGCTCCCTGCCGCTCACCTTCTGCTTCCACACCGGCCTTAGCCAGTACGTGGCGCTGGAGGACGCCGAGGGACGCAAGAAAGGAGAGAGCTTCTACCCGTGCCCTGTGTGTGCACTTCCTGTTCGCCTTCCTTTCAGAATAAAATGTCTGATTCGGGCTGTGACTGTTTTTTATTTCTGTCTGTTCAACAGGATCAGACGGCTCAGGATCCCTCCGCCATCGACATGTTCATCACAGGTCAGGTTTCGTTTACNTGTGACTGTTTTTTATTTCTGTCTGTTCAACAGGATCAGACGGCTCAGGATCCCTCCGCCATCGACATGTTCATCACAGGTCAGGTTTCGTTTACGTTCTGCAGCTGGTTGAACTGATGCACTAAATGCTTCAGGAGTTTTACGATCATTTATTGTCGTGATGTATGACTTTATTTGCAGAATGTTACAACTTATTCTCATAATCTTACACGACTTAATGCTTGGTATGTTACGGCTTTATTTTCAATATGTTACGACTTTATTCTGGTAATTCTGCGACTTTATGCTCGTAATGTTATAACTTTATTCTCGTAATCTTACACGACTTAATGCTTGGTATGTTACGACTTTATTTTCAGTATGTTACAACTTTATTCTCGTAATTCTGCGACTTTATGCTCGTTATGTTACAACTTTATTCTCATAATCTTACACGACTTAATGCTTGGTATGTTACGACTTTATTTTCGATATGTTCCGACTTTATTCTCGTAATTCTGCGACTTTATGCTTGTAATGTTACAACTTATTCTCGTAATCTTACACGACTTAATGCTTGGTATGTTTCGACCTTATTCTCGTAATTCTGCGACTTTATGCTCGTAATGTTACAACTTTATTCTCGTAATCTTACACGACCTAATGCTTGGTATGTTACGACTTCATTCTCGTAATTCTGCGACTTTATACTCGTAATGTTACGACTTTATTTTCGTAATCTTACATGACTTAATGCTTGGTATGTTACGACTTTATTCTCGTAATTCTGCGACTTTATACTCGTAATATTACGACTTTATTTTCGTAATCTTACACGACTTAATGCTTGGTATGTTACAACTTTATTTTCGTAATTCTGCGACTTTATACTCGTAATGTTACAACTTTATTCTCGTAATGTTACAACTTTATTCTCGTAATCTTACACGACTTAATGCTTGGTATGTTACGACTTTATTTTCGGTATGTTACGACTTTATTCTCGTAATTCTGTGACTTAATGCTCGTAATGTTACGACTTTATTTTCGTAATCTTACACGACTTAATGCTTGGTATGTTACGACTTTATTTTCGGTATGTTACGACTTTAAAAAAAATCTCTAGCCTGGCGCCAATACTCCGACGTTAATTTTAGAGCCAGGCTAGCATTTTTTTTGAACAACTATGAGCTGGAAGCTTTCTTTCTGAAACAGGTTGCGCTATGATGACTTCATTGTCATAATGTTACGACCTAATGCTCGTAATTTTATGACTTTATCCTCATATTTAAAAATAAAAAATCTCTAGCTTGGCCCTAATGCTCCGTTACGCTGATCTGCGTTTTCAGGCTCCAGCTTCTTGGACTGGTTCAGCACCTACGTCAACAACGTGGTTACAGGAGAATATCCCATCATCAAAGACCAGATCTTCAGGTCCGTCCGACTCTGGAGCCTCACGGCTGAAGGTTTGTTTGAATTAAACCCAGCGCTGTGTCTGCAGGTACACGCACGAGAAAGGCTGCGTGGCGACCACCGGCGACATCACCGTCTCCGTCTCTACCTCCTTTCTCCCCGAGCTGTCGTCCGTCCACCCGCCGCACTTCTTCTTCACTTACCGCATCAGGTACAGCTCCACCACACAGACCCGGTCCGGTGACGCGGCGCCGTAACGGCTTTTAAAAAAATGTCTGTTTGCAGGATAGAAATGTCCAGAAGCGCCTCCACTAAGGCCGCCTGTCAGCTGGACAGCCGTTACTGGAAAATCACCACTTCCGATGGAAACGTGGAGGAGGTTCAGGGTCCCGGCGTGGTCGGTACGCCACACGCTCCTCCATCTTGGTTCTGATTGGGCCGTACGAGGTGCTGATCTCCCCGTTTCTCTGCAGGAGAGTTCCCGGTCATGACGCCCGGAAAGGTGCACGAGTACGCCAGCTGCACCACCTTCTCCACGCCGTCAGAGTTCATGGAGGGTCACTACACCTTCCACAGGCTAGGTGGCGCCACTTCTCCTCCTTCAGCAAACTGACTTCCTGTTTGTGATTGATTGGTTGATGGGATTTCTTGTCTTCTAGCCAACAAGGAAGAGGTTTTCCAGGTGGCCATCCCTCGCTTCCACATGGTCTGTCCTCCTTACAGAGAGCCGGCGTCTCGGACGGTGAGAAACGACTTGGACCTGCTTTCCTCTCACAGCTTTGAACCCAACGTTAAAGCTCTTCTCGTTTTTGTTCCTGTGCAACAAAAGGCTTCGACCAGCCACACGACTCCCTACGACGACGGGGAAGACGGCGACGACGACGACGGGGATCAAGGCAGAGGAAGGTTAGGCGGTCTGAGAGGCATCAGCGCCTCCGCCCTGGAGGGCTCCCGCTGCCCCCGCTTCACCTGACCTCCAGACGTAGAGCCATGAACTCAAACTGAATCACTTGAACTTCCAGTTGCCAAATACCACGTGGGTGCGGCGCTTTCAGGAAAAGCTTCTTGGTTCCTTTTAGATTTTTGTGAAGAAGAGCTGCAGAGATTCATCATCTCATGTCAAAGATCGTCTAAAACATCTTTATTCCTGATCCAGACAACATTCCTGAAGCTAAAGCTCTAGGATCAACTATAAAACACTTTAAAGCTTCTGTTTTGGCTTTGAAAAAAGCAAATCTGATCCAAGTCTGGTGATGTGGGTCTGTCGCCATCTAGTTGACAGACCTGGTATTACACCTTTTTTTTTTTTTGAGCTAAGAATTTGTTTTCCAGATGCTGCATTTTGATAAGGATTGATGCTTTTTTTTGTTACAGGAGTTGAAAAAATATAAGTAAATAATTTCTAGGTGGGGAATACAGATTATATTGAGTCTTTTTTTTTTTAAATATAAATGTTGTAGGATGTAAGATGAGGCCAGCGTGATGATTTTGATGAACTTTTGGGTTTGAAGGTTGCTGGTTTCTATAAAGCTCTGTTTTTTTTTTTTTTGCAGATTTTTTCTATGTTTGGGTTCAATAAAATCTTTTCAAAGATCTGTTCATATTTTACTGCTCTCCAGTTAAAATTAAAAAGGTCCCGTTAAACTGGTTAATCATCGTCCTCATCCTCCAGCTCTTCCTCTTCCACCGGCATCCCTAAGCTCCTGCGCCTTCTCGTCCCCCTCGTCTCCTTCCTGTCCTCCTGCTCCTCCTCCATCTTCTCCTCCAGCTCCCCTCTTCCTCCCCCTCCCGCCGGCTGGCCCACCTCCCCTTCGCGGGCATTGCAGCGGCTGCAGTGCCTCCTGAAGCCTCCCAGGTACTCTGAGCGGAAGCAGCAGAAGGGGCAGGCGTAGCGTCCGGGTCGGTGGACGGTGCGGACGTGCTGCTGCAGCCGGCTGGGCAGGAAGAAGGTTTGGGAGCAGTCCTTGCAGCTGTAGGGACGCTCCACGTCGTGGTAGCGCTCCAGGTGCGTGAGGACGAACCCTGCAGAGACCAGCAGAACCTTAAAGCTGCACTGAAGCAGAAACGTTTGCTGTTCATACCAGAGATTACATTTCGTTTAATAAAGAAATCTAAAAATGGGATTTATTTTTGAACAAATATGGGGCGCCGTTTGTAAAGTAAAGCAGTCAAACATTAGGAGCAATATTTATGGTTATTTAGCGCGTTTTAAGAGAAAAATAACAGGGTTATTTTACTCCAAGTCCTTTTTTCTCTATGTCATTCATTCATTTATAAAAATCTTACTTTGGTAAATAAATATTTAGTTTGGAGCTAAATATTTAGTTAACAAACTTAAGATTTAGTACATACATATATATGTATATAAATTAGGGATGCACGATATTGGGATTTTGGCCGATATCCGATATCCGATATTTTAAAACTCATGTAGCCGATAACCGATATCGATACCGATGTTAAAGCTGGACAAAAATAAGTAGTCATTGAAAATAGCAGTTTTGTTATCCATTTCTGACACTTTGAAAATTAATAAACTCAAATATATTTT